TGGAACAACGGCAACCTACCAAGACTTTCCTGCATTTAAACTAAGTTCACCAATGGAAAGAAATTTAATAGAGAAGTGGCTAAGAGATCCATAGGCGGGAGAATTTGTTCACAGCACGACATTTATTGGTGCTTTCCACAAATATGGCCTTTATTGAGGATAGGTAACAAGTAGTTATTGAAAAAAAAAAACACATATGAAGTAAATGGTCACATGTAATTATTCACAGATTGAATGTTTTTCACCAGCATGTAGCAAATAGATCCCCCTGAACATATGATCCTCTTGTTAAACATGGCGATTACAGCATCTTTAATGTACAAGTTGAAGCTAAATAGACATTAACTTATTTGAATGGGATTAAATTGATCTCAGAAAATACTGATCAGGACTTCTCATGTAAATCACACTTCAAAGAGGTTGGTAGAATTTCCTTCTTTCATCTAAAAAATATTGCAACAAAATAAAAATCTTAATTAATATCTTGTTCATTGGTGAAGCTGAGAAACTAGTCCATGCATTTGTTACTTCAAGGTTGGACTAATCATCCATCTCACATATAAAGCTTTAAAGGCCAAGCTCCATCTTACATCAGAGATCTGATTGTTCCTTATGTTCCTAACAGAGTACTTTGCTCTCAATCTGCAGGTTTACTAGTGGTTCCTAGAATTTCTAAAAGTAGAATGTCAGGCAGATCTTTTTGTTTTCAGGTTCCTCTCCTGTGGAACCAACTGCCAGTTTTAGTTCGTGAGGCAGACAGCCTGTCTAGTTTGAAGGCAGGGCTTGACATTTTCCTTTTTGATTAAGATTATATTTAAAAACATATTGATATATGCTTAGTCGCTGGGTGAGTAGATAGGTGGAGGTAACGTGTTAACAGTCTGATCTGGCGGGGGAGAATTTCAGTCGGGACAGATGTTTCTCCTTGGCTCTACCTTGGCCTTACTTCGGCTCTACCTTTCTTATACCTCATCCAAAACAGTTACTGTAGGTGATCCTGAGTTTTCAGTATTTGGGCTGCTATATGTTTGCGCTGCTAGATCACATGGGGACCACTGTTCTTCATTCTGCTTCATTCTTTCTCTATTCTCCCATTCTGCAGTGTTTGTCAAGTTCCATGCATGACTTTATGCTCGCTGCATTCTCTAATCATTGTAGCTTCATCTGTTCTGTTACCGTTTGGTTGTGACACCATCCTAGATTAAAATATCAGCTGTGTTGCTACTATCAATATCTGTTTATAGATATTGAAGCTTGGCTTGTTTCCAGTCTAGTCCTGTTTCTTTTTCTACTAATAGCAGAATTGTCTTGGAGCTCAGCTGTAGACCTAAACCTAATGAAGAATATGTGGCAATACTTGCACACTGATGTTATATACCTTGTGATGTGATACCTCCTCCCTTCCTCCAATATGACTGAAATCAAGCTGTTTTGCCAAGATGAACTTGCAACTATTTCAGTTGCTAGATGTGGAAATCTGGTAAAGGCATATACCCTAAAGATTTGGATATGTAATTGTGGGGAAAGATGTTTCTACCAAGTTTCTACCAAGTATTAAAATGGTCAGAATGCAAATGTATGGCATGCTTACAGGTATTTATTTATCAAAAAATAAATAAAGAAAGAAACAATATATAAATTTTGCTCATTTTGTTTGTCTATCACATAATTTCCCCCAAAAATATAATGAGGTTATTATTTTTGTTATACACTGAGACCGCTAACTGGTTGTTATAACAGATGTTTATACTATTATAATGTTATAACAGAGGTGTATTGTATTCTTTATTTCATTTTAAGTTTATAAGTATGATGAGTAGGATGATGACTAGTAACTTACATTTCTGAGGCCTTCCTTACTTCATTTACATCTAGAGCAGGTTATAAAATGAAAATGTTATTTTTTAATTTGGTTACTTTAACCTTGGAAAGAAAACATTGATTATTCATTAATTAGTTATAAGATTTTTTTTCACTTAAATATGTATTTTAAATATTGCTTGTTTTCTTTAAGATAAAAAATTTATGAATTTTGTCCACTCGGTGGCGCTCTAAGACTGCCAATAACCCAAAGTGTGAATCTGGAGAGCATGGGAAGGGGGTAAAGGTGGGAAAAAAGAGGCCCACACTTACCTCACACTCAGACAGAGCTATAATTTACTAATAGTGTGGGAGCCGCTGCCGCTGTTATCTTTTAATAGATTTGTACGGGAGAAAGCAGGTGCCTGTTGTTAATGCGTCCAATTGCCCAAGTTGCCTACAGAATTCAGGGCATCCATCACTGTCGTTGGTGGTGACACCCTGTCGTTCTACTTCATGCAGCGGGCCGGCCGGGCTGGGTTGGTAACAGATGAGGCTTCTCTCTCCTCCAGACGCCCACAGTCACACAGAGACAACCACCATGCTTGCTTGCACTACCATACACACACACAATGATACATATATATATATATATATATATATATACCTATATATATACCAGCATATGACTCTTAAAGGACAAATAAAACTCAAACATAATCTGACTTGAGGCATTATATTTTCTATGAAGTTTGCTTTCTGATGATTCTCACACCAAAAGATGTCATTTCTGAAGTCAACAAAAGCTCTCTATTTGAATGTTGTTGTTTTGTTTTTGTTTTTTTTGTTTTTTTTTTTGGGGGCCATAATTCATCTTGCTGCTTTTAATAGCGAATGGTTACTGTGGATCATATAAGTTGACATGTAATGGAGGCGAAGTAATACCAAGCTGGAGAATCTGAGTGATGTAGACTAGACTTACCTCATTATGAAATATAGACTGTCTACCAGGATGAACACATTTCGACTTTAGCAACTAACTATTAGAAAAAAGAAAACTCCCCAATACTTCATATTTAATACTCGTACACTCTCATCTAACTTTACTGACAGGCAAGCTGCTTCAAATCTAAGTAACCAGTTGAGCCATGATAGTAAATCATTCATTGCAGACGACATCTTAGCTTCTTCGCACCAAAACTGTCTGATTAAAAAGGCTAGCTGGCATAACATAATGAAAGGGTATAATGCCTTATTTGTTCTAAATAATCATTCAGATTTGAAACAGAGAAAAGAGTAATTGACTGCAAATTTTCATAACTTTACATTGATGAATGATTACATTTATTTTTCTCTTCTGAAGTGTGACAGAAATGTTAACTAAAGATGAAACCTACCTTAATAAGCAGTAAGGTGAGAAATCTAAACAACAAGCAAAGCCTTAGCTGTACAGAATATGACCTGGATGGAAGTAAAATGATCATGTTCAAGGAAGCTGAGTTTATTGCATCAAGCTCTGAACTTTGCCCAAATACCTCATATTGAGCGAGCATTTGGTGAGAAGGTTAAGGAATATCTTCATTATAAACAGGAAGAATATTTCAGCAGAACCTTGTCCATTTATAGGTGTTCGTCTTCTGTGACAAACTGCAGTTTTGAGAAGGTTATAAAAGAAGAAAAAGTATTTCCACCAACAATTTTTTTTCACAAGCGTGCCATAAACTATTACTTTGCAGAGTAGAAGACACAGAAAGGAAGAGGTAAAGATAAATTCGAGTCATATGAAAGGAATGTGCTTACTGTAGGAACAGAAAAAAAACACCTGATTGAGCCCAAGAGGTGTATCATTCATCAATCTACTATTTGGCCAAGGGCTCGTTTTTTAATGAATACATCTAAATGAAAGCAATCTTTGTTATTATTATCTAATATGGTACCTTAGGAAGTAAACTGCACTATTTTATATATTTCTTTAAAGATATATTCTATAAATTTCTTTATTCCGGGTAGCTTCCTTGTTGCAAAGCCTCTCCTTAAATGTTTTTTTTTTTTTTTTTAATTTTAGCTGAAATGTAAATATTTCTGCACTTTTCAGATTTGTGAGAACAGGAACGATAACCATCAGATAAAAGTTATCTCCATAACGTTATTTTATCAGTTTCCTTTTTTTAATCAATTCAAATCTAATAACATAAATTACTTTATAATGTTGACAGTTAAGTCTTCAAAATCTGGAAATACATTTTAACTTATTATATTTATTCCCCACTATATCAATTCCAAAGATTACTTTTATAATTTTTATCGAACATTTCGAAAAACAACTGTTAGAATGTATATTTCTGACCTAACCTGCAGTAAACCGCTATTAATTATGCCGGTGAAACAAAGTGGTACTAAAATGCTCCTCTTCTTTTCTTGGAATTCATGACCCTGTTTCACTCCTATAGCTTAGCTGGGGGCACCCTGTTGTGCGTGAGTTTGCCCTCCACCCTGAAAAACTCTGTGAGCAGCTGTGTTTCTTTAGACCCAGACTGAGAGCTGGAGGTGCCTGCTAATACCTTGTTAGAGCCGTTTCAGTTGACGGGTCTTGGTGGGGTCACTGTCAATACTGCTTTAGTTCAAGGGCCTTGATCTGCTGTATGTTGGATAAAACTGGGTACTAGTGAGCAGGCTGTTGATTCTCTGCACTATTACTATTTTCACTTTTGCATTGCTCTTATGACAGCCATGTGCTTTGATAAATTTTGATCAATTTGTATTATTCTTGTACTATTTTAAATTAGTTTTGTTTTTATTCTCCTTGATTATAAATTTTTCCTTTTACATATAAATCAAACTTATGAATGCAGTTTTTGTTTTGCAAAAAAACACACAGGTGTTGAACAGCATATGGAGGCTTTGACCCAGCTTCCTAACACTGACATTACTCCTAACATAAAACAGAACTCAACCTTTTGAACAACGTTTGCAGATTTTTCCAGGATGTTTCCGCTGTATGCTGTTTATAAGCATCAAACCAGTTTTATGTTCCCCCCCAGACACTCTCCTCATTACTCAAATCATCATGAACCTTCTCTTTCAAACTGACTTGAAAGAAAAAAAAAAATGTTGCAATGTGATCATATGCATAGTGGTAATAAAGAAATATTCACAGAGCACCTTATTAACATAATGTCTCTTCTGTTTTTTTAAGTCATCGTAAAAATACTTGAAAATTACTGCTTGCAAAAATAGACAGTAAGCTTTTCCAATCATATTATCAATGTCCAGTGAAAACTGGCTGCATCTGGTATAGTTAGCTCTGTATTATTTGCCCTAGAAACCGAATAAGTAAATTAAAATCACCATCAATGGCTTGGCTCTGCTAGTCAGCCGGCCTAAAAAGGACTTCTACAGAATCTCTTGCTTACGTTGAATACAAATTGGGCTGTGTGGAAGCAAATCTTCATGAGAAACAATAAATATATGAAATCTTAAGGAGCACTCCCATTGCTCCTATTTAGACAATTTAGAAAAATAAATAAATGAATCATTAATGTTGCTTCAATGCAGATAAGCTTGTCAACTGTTGGAGAACTTGGAAATATTCAGTCAATCCCTCTGCAGCCTCCATTTTTTCCACTGTTCGTTCAGTTCCCGTCTAAAAAAAAACAAAACAAAAACAGAAGTCAAACAAAAGAGAGGGGAAAGTCTTGCCAGTTAGCAGCTAATGAGACAAGCTTCTGAGGATATCCAAAGCCACAACGTGTTAACGTTTAAAAAATCCCCTCCCCATCTCTCTACTCCCTATACCTCGGCCTCCCCCATCTGCCCTTGGACCCAGCCTTTTGTAAAATGGCGAGGGCACCACTGAGGCCCTCTGTGTGATTATTCACACATGGCTGTGGCCCTGGTGCTTTGAGCGCAGGCTGATCATGGGAGCCAGGAAAAAAAAAGAGGATTTGTGTATGGATAATGTAAAAACACTCCAACTGACATTTAGCCAAGGTTTTCTTATTATTACTATTAATATGTTTTTTGTTACTTTTTTGCTCGTCTGTTTTAACCTCTGAACAGACATTTTACCCTTTAAAGATGTACACCTACATTAATTTAAATTAATCTGTTTTCATTATTGCTTTCATTAAGTAAAACCAGGCAATGTGTGGGTGGGTCGTGTTTGGGAATTTGGTAAGAAAAACGCATCCAATAAGTGAAAAATAATATGGCAAGAGAAATAACAGCAATCCCAGTTGCCTTTGTCCTGCTTTTTCGAAAATGATTTCTGCCTTGGAAGTGAGAATAAAATATGCTTTTGTAATAGATCTTTGGACAGCCTTGAATGATTTGCCACCAGAGTTCTTTTCCGGACTCATTTTCTCCAGGGTGTGTATTGGAAATGTGTTCAGAATCTCAGCAGGGGGAAATTAAATGTTAAGCTGGTCTAGAAGTGTTGCAGTAAACACCGACTGGATCAGGGAATTACATTCAGTGTGACGTTTGGACTTAAAAAAGCTGATGCATGGAACAGAGCAGTGCAAATTCTACTTTCCAAAGGGACGTCTAATTGATTCTGTGCTACATTACTAGTTTTCACACAGATATGGACATCTCACTTCAGTATGTGGCGATTGCTAAGATACAGCTCTCACAGCATCTTGCTGAAAACCTTATTTCTTTGTTTTTAATTCTAAAATCTCAGTGTTGTCTTTGTAGACTGCACCGCAGTACAGAATGCAACCTTAACCTTGGCAAAAACCCCTGAGCAAAACCAGAAAATTGAATTGAAAGAGAAGTTTGTGAACAAAATAATCCAGGGCTCCACTTGATGTGTTATTTGTCAGGGGCAGTGCGTTTGTGCATGTTAACTAACTGTGCCACCGAACTTGGCCTGCATGTAATAGGGTTCCAGCACAAACATTTTCTCCAAGGGGCTTCAATTATTAATTCTCTCTGAACACATCCATAAATGAATAATGAAATAAATAATGAAAATGTTATTACTTTTGGCAGCTGGGTCATTTCCCGTTTTCCTGCTTATTCTTCCACTTGTTTCCTACTAATTAACTTTCCAAGGAGTTGTCCTCGTTTTTTGGGGGGAAAAAAGATAAATTAATCTGATCTCAGCTGTGGGCAAAGAAAACATCCAGAACATCACATAATTCTATCTATGTCTTTTTTTTTTTGTCATGGCAAGTAAAGGAAAAATGTAAATACAGTGCCTGGTAAAAGTATTCATTCCCTTTGAGATTGGCTGTATTTAATCCTAAAACAACCACAAAACTTGGTTTGTCTACCTGAATATTTTGTTTTTGAGATGGAAATAGTAAATTGCACCTGAAGTTAAAGGAAAATGATGCTCAGATTAATTTAGTTAAATAAGATTATTAAAGTTTAACACTAGATCAAATCTTGTGAAAGCTAATGCATACAGATCATTCCAAGAATAAATCCGGCTGTTCTGTGAAGGCCTGGATCTTATCTATTTATTTGTATTATTCATTTTCTTTCTCCAAACAGTGTAAGGATACCAGAGGACAAAGCAAGTAGTGTGAATATAAAGTTGAGTAGATGTATAAAGTAGGATATAAATCACTTAAAGTTATGGCAGCATTTAATTTTCTTTTGGGAATGATAAACTATTTTTTGAATTAAACTGAACTGAATAACAATATATGCCTGTCAGTCCTTCTGGAAAAAGAAAGACAACTAACCATGCAAACAGAATGTTAAGCAGCAAAGCAGCCGACAGGCCTACAGTGAACCAGGAGGGACTTCAGGATTATCCATAGCTATGGTGACAGAGTCCCTACAGAAACAGGTTAAGAAATCATTAGTCCTGCAGTTCAAAAATGCTGCTTCTGTGTGAGAAAAGTAAGATCAAAACAAAGCCAAACAAATTCTCCTTGACAGTCTAAAGCATACGGCTAATAGGGAATACAGCAAACATGGAAGACGGTGATCTGGTATTATGTAACTAAACTGATCTAACTTATCTGCATACAAGGAGCTATGAATGGCAGAAAATTAACACCAAAGACATACTGTGGTGGCAGCATCATGTGCTGGGACTGTTTTCTCTTTACCAAGGACAGAAAAGGCCAGAGTTAATGGGAAAATGAAAGGAGCTAAAAACACAAGACTTGAAAATTGATAGTCACAAGCACTCACAGTTTAAGCTTACAGACCTTGAGATTTTTGAACACAAGAGTGGGCAGTTTGCTAAACTGGCACACCCCAAAACATTTCCAGCTGGAAATGCAAGGCGGCTGAAGACATATGCATGACGGTTGCCACACTTCTTCAATTTGTATTTTGTATCATTCAGTTTACAGGAATGTCACAAAAAAAAATCCAGTAAAATATATGAAAGTCTTTGATTGCAATCTGACAAACTGCATTAAAGATAAAGTTGTAGGCTACGGGTATTTTAGCAAATCACCTGCATACATGTTTTTCTTAAATAGTTTAATCAAAGCAAGGCATAATAACACTACAGAAATGTCTTAACTATAACTGCTATCTGATACTCATTAATTAACACTCCAGTCTTGTGTGTGACAATAAAGTGAAAGAGGAAGTCCTTTTGGCAATGCCTAATTTAGCAAATCAAGGTTTCCTTCCTTGCTAGCCCTGATTCCCCTCATGGCCTTAAGATGCATGCCCTCTGCCCCATGCCATGCAGTTCAAAGCTTGTGTGCTGGGACAGAGGCTTGGCGATAAGTAGCCCTCATTTAATATGGATCTTTAAGAGGGCCATAACGCTAAAGCCTCAATGAAAGTGCTTCCCCCTCGTATCCCTCCGGCATTGCTACATCGATGGCTCTTCTCTCTCTCTCTCTCTCTCTCTCTCTCTCTCTCTCTCTCTCTCCCTCATTATAGTCACTGCAGCTCTGTTTTAAACTGCTCCTTCCTTCTTCCCTTCATTTTACTGTTAATTAGTTTGCTTTGTAATGTTAGACGGGCGGACAGAGCAACTTTGGGAGTGTTTGGCTGCCATCTGTGTGTGCATAGATCTAACCATGTACAGATGGCGAGTCCATATCGACAGGTTGCTCCTGGTGGGGAAAAAAGCAAACAGTTTTGGTTAAGATTTATGGCTAATCTTACAGGTGACTGTTTATGCTGTTATGATTAGTCATCTATCACAAAAAAGGAAATTCAAGGGAAGACTGTGAATATTCCATAAGTGAATTATATTCCATTAAAACTGAAATTTCCTTTCAGAGCTTTCAGAGCCTTCGCCCAATTCAAAATTAGGTATAGAAAATGAAAAGGGAAGCAAATATATCTAATCTGTTTACCACACGATGTTATACAAATGCTCTGCAAACTTGGCCAAGATTATGCAACATAAGAAATTAAGTGAATCAGAAAGTTGGAGAAGAAGTTAGATAACAAGGTTACAAAATTACAATATATATATATATTTTTTTTTATTTATTTATTTTTATTATTATTATTATTTTTTTAATTTCATTGTATCAGTGATTTTTCTTCTGCATGTTTTGTCACTTACTTTGTATCCCCAAAAAGTACCTCTTGCTAGTGAGAACCTGACCCTGTCAGTTTCAGTTCAGTGCCTAATGCTTTCAGTTGGGTATTAATAACCCCCTCCCACAATTAAAAATGAGTTAGCCATATTTTTAATGGCTTACTGCCATATGTTTGTGGTGATGTCTAGGAGAGAAAGTGAACCCACGTAAAACGTACAACGTTAAATTTCATTCTCTCTGTCTTTAATTGACATTTAATAAAAAAATAAATCAACATCATTGCGATAGAAACTGAAACTTTTAACCTGTATAGGATGGCTTTTCAACTCCCCTGATTAATCAAATTACACAACATCGCACAAAAAAGACATATTGTATGATTTTTGCATATAATTTTTTTTTTTTTTGCAGCACACCTTTGAATCTTCTTTATTTCATGTCTTTTATCAAAATATATTTGCCAATCTCTTTGACTGCAGATCTTTCTTGATTCCTTGTTATTTTTCTATGGATGGTTAATTGTTAATTGAAATCCTTGTTGTAAAAGGTAGGCTCTATCCGCTTAGGATAATTCCAGTTAACATAATTGATAACATGTTTTTGCTATTTCAATTAATGTAGATATTTGATCAATTTTAACTTTTGAAAACCACATATTTTTTCTTCTCTTGTCTTAATATGATTTATTTTCTCATATGTCACTTTATATTTAAATATATTAATTCAAAATAATCTTAAAGCATACAAAACTTGCAGTGGAACACTGTTATGCATTTCAGAATTGTGTGTGCAGCAGCAGAAAATAATGCCTGTTCACATCCATACTGCAGTTTTGTCAAATATGATCAAATGAAGCTTTATTAATTCATATAATATGTTGGCTGACACCTTCTTTATTACCAAAGTTGGAAAAAAGCTAGGGGTACAAGGTGTTGCAGTATGGCATTTTATTGCATCAGAGGAAAATCTATATTTTCAGTCAATCTGCTTACAAATATCACACCTTTACGCTTATCCCTCCTTATTTGCCAGTCTTTCATAATATGTTTATAAAATAGTTTGGTGATGACTACAAGCCTGTAAAGCAGTACAAGTGCAGCATTATCAATTAAAGCCCTTTTTGCGCTTTAAAAAAAACTGCCCAAGAAAGAAAAATACGATGGGGGAAAAAAAACAGTCTATTGCTTTGTTCATTTCTTCCCATAGCTTTCTCTCTTTTCTACTCTCCCCAAGGTTCTATTAGGAAATAGATCCCAGGTGTTCGATAAGCCTGTAGTGGACATGACAGCAGTGCAATCAAGTGTATAAATTTAATTGCAGGCTCATTTTGTGCCGTTTATTAGCCGTTTAGGGGCACATCGCTCCACTTGAACCCTGTTATTGCCAGACAGAACAGCTGTTTGGTTCTTTTTGTCCAATAGTTTTTTTTTAAGTTAAATATGGCATACGTATTAATCTATACTACATAAATATGCAGTATTTACTATGCGGTAAAAGGAAGTATTATGCAGTAAAAAGGAAAAATAAAACAGCTCAAATATGAGTAAAAAACATGTTTTTAAAGCTCATAGTCAAACAAAAAACTCCCAAATAGTGAAGCAAAAAAATATAAAAGCAAAAAAAAGAAAACTTGATTCCTCTATCCTCGATTTTTGTGGCCGGACCGTGCCACACATCAAGGGGCCCGGAAGACACACTCTCACTGGGTGAAACCTTCTTCTGGTGTGACACGCCATTAATAAAAAGCCCCCCGAAAAAGCTCAGCTAATTGTTACCATGCACTCGGCCTCACTGTTCCTATAAATCATCCCGCTAATTGCAACAAATTGTGGCCTGACATTAAGCTATGATTCCGAACCAGCAAATATTCATCAACATTGCAACTAGCCCCATAAAACACAGAGCCCCACCATTTCCCAGGCTTAATATATATCTACCATCTTACTCCCCCATTATTTATGGATTTTTCTTGTCCTCAGCATTTTAAGTGGAGCACGGTGAGTGACTGAGAAGCAATTTTGTTTATTCATTATATCAATGGATTAAAAAGCAGGTATATGTAACTGCAGTCAAATGACCAGCTTTAGACCTTGTTTTCCATCTTTGAAACATTGTACTGTCTTCTCTGATCATTACTCAGTTGCCTGTTGCAGAAAAATTACCATACGTAAACGTTCTGTATATCTTTGAATGTTGCTTTTCTTTCTCCTGTCTGTTTTTCAATGTTGTTTACCAAGAGCTCATTAGTGCTTTGGCTTCTTAGGAAGAGCTCGGACTGTCGCCAAGCAGTCATATGATAGAGCATTTAACCTCCCATGCGATGTTTATTTCATGCAGACAAAAAGCTAGTTAAATCACTTTCTCCATAGTCTGACAGTCACCATAACTGTCACAGCATATGATCTATTTGGCGGCCTGATGCATTACCACTGCTAATGTTTCGCCCCAGTTACTGTTCAAAAACAGCAACAGCATGTGTCTAAACTCTACCTAATAGGTCTTCCCCCAGGTGTGCATCAGGAGCTAAAGATGTCAGGGTTAAAGGTCAGGATCTGATTTGTTATGTAGGAGTTCATGGGGAATTTTAAAGTGGACTGATCAATTCCACACCACCAGCGTGCACATAAATCAATTCCGTCATCTGGAGAGGAAGAATGCATATGTGCACGTGGATTGGTGGAATGTGCGGGTGCACATGCACGACTGGACTCGCAGAGGCGATAGCATAATTAATCATAAATCTCTTTTGGCACTGTGTGAGCATGTTTTTATCGCCTCGTCTTCGCTTATTAAATTTTCCCTCCCGTTTATCGCTCTGTTTTAAATTGTAGAGGCCCTGGCTGCCTTAGTAGACCACAGTAACTTGCCATACCAAAGGGAAATACATGACTGTCCAAAGAAGAGGGGGAGCCAAAAAAAAAAAAAAACATTCTTCCCTTAGACAATGTTAAGCATTGACTGGCTTATTACTGTGTTCTCTGATTTAGCTAGATGTGTTCAAGGATCCTTTCCGTGGTGAAAAAAGGTCAGCTGCTCTTAGATGTGCTCAACTAGAATACTAACACTGTCCTTATTCAAATGATCTGCTCCAGCGCTTATTAAATTGATGGTCCAGGCGCTCTAATTTAATAGTGTTGCAGTGCAGGAGAGGGACACAGCTGCAGTCACTGGTGAATTAGGTGCTTCTGAAGCAAAGTTCAAGCAGGAGCCCCCTTTGCTTTTGGGATGCATTTTTCCCAACAAATTAGCAGTCAGTGGTGCTACGCAATTAATTAGTGCAAACCAGGAAAAGCTTGTCCTTTAATAAGGTGCT